TTCTGCTGCTAATGAAATCCCTGCTTAGTATAAGATTACCCAGTGAAAGAAGGTTGGAACAAATAATTACTGGTATCTCCAGTTGGCAAGGTAGCATATTATATACATGTATGTATATAAGAATAATGTCATGATTGTTAGGTTTTGAATAACAAATAAGTAAGCTCAATACCCTTTGCATTTTTTGACTTGGCTTCTTAAAAGAGAGCTTCGTTTACAACTAGACTAGACTAGGTTAAAAGCTCGAGTGCCAAAATAAGAAATTCTGAAGAGCATTCCAAAACACAGGAAGAAAGGAAAGGTCTAAAAACTAACAGCCATTATGAAAACAAACCCTCAATATCCCAAAAGATAATCTAACACACATATGCATAAACATAAAGTAAAATGATTTTCATTGCTTTGATTCGCCATTAACGACAACTATAAATCTACCGCTATTAATTCAAATAATACCTATGATCTGCTGTTCAAACAAACACATTCTGCGTAAATGTATGAATCATGATGTCGATATCATATAAAAATATAAATTGATATGTGTATTGCAGTGGTGTTTTTCAATGTGAAAATCAGTTTTAAATTCTAATATAAGATAGAAATGAGCGGAACTTGAATGAAATGAACTTGAATGAAATGAACTTGCATGAAATGAACTAATCAGAGATGGAGCTAACACTCAAGATTGTATAGAAATTCCGGAAATTCAGACAGTTCATCCACATTTTAAGAGAAATTTTTTTTCGCAAAATACATTTTCAGAGAGAAATTTGAATCATGATTGCTTTTACACTCCAGGTGTGATTTGGCATAAAGTAGTCCGCTGTATGGGATACAAAGATGATTTGACATTCCATCATTTTGTCGGGTAAGTCTTTTATGATTATGTATTATAAGTAAACAATCTTGTCATAATTTTGTATAATCTAGATCATGGTGTTAATTATGTCACCACTAAAAGTAGTGAAATATCGTTTTGGTCTCCTACTTTTTGTGACGGCAGTTGATATGTTACAAATGGCAGGTGGTGACATTTTGCATGTTAATGCCTTGTATTAGACTTTTATTAACACATCTCTGTTAAAAACAGGATTGGCTGATAGAACCAATATTATCAATCATTTCATTTTTATCACAACCTTTCAGCAAGTTAAGACTGAAAATGAGGTTTACGGAATAGACTATTTGCTATATAGATGGAAAATAGATGGCAGCATGTGTGTTGATAGAAAATGGTAGCGCCAGAATACATGGAGACTTACAGCAAGAGTCACTTAATTCTTGGTCTTTCAACACCAGATATAACTATATGATCTTCTTGGCATGTGGATTGTGATTAAACATAAAAATTGTAATCTTATGGTAAAGTTTTTTTTAGCATTGTGTCAATTGTGATTTAGCCCAACCTTTTTCAGAAAACTTAAAAATCTTGAATAAAGAATGAAGGTAAATAACTGCAAATCAAAGTTGTTTTGATAGAAAACTAACGAACTTCGTTCGTTGGGATAATTACTAGAGAATTCAAATATCATCAAATATGTTGGTCGTTAATGGTTAAAAATGGAGATCTCCTAAAATCAGATCAAAAACTAAAATCTCACCAAAAACGAGACTTCAATGAGATGTCAAAGCCATTTAGCAAATCCTGTATTGATCTCATGTAAAACTGCACCTATCTACCTAAATTATCAAAACCACTTTGTATGATTAGGTATGTCAATAAAAACTCAGGTCATATTTTTTAGTATACATATATTTTATAAGTGTTATACTATTCATTTTTTGCAGAATATAATATACACCCTGAGGCCCATAGGCCACATTGGTGGATCTGCTCCCCCTAGGATGGGCTTGGGAACCAATTAGTAGGCCTTTTTAGGTATTAATGGGCTTTTTAGGGCCTTTTTTAATTTCAGGCCAACATTTTAAAAAATAGGCCTTAAATGTTCAAAATTTGGACCCCATTTTTGGTTTTAGGTAGGGATGCCCTGCCCCGTTGTTCATTTTCAGATCTGCACCTGGGCCAGTAAGAATAAGTAGCCTCTAAATAAATATAATTCTGATGTTGATATGATCTTAATGCTTCCTAGTCAACTCGTACCCAAGACAACTCGTACCCAAGACAACTGGTACCCAAGACAACTCGTACCCAAGACAACTCGTACCCAAGTTTATTTTCAGTATTATGGGTGCATATTAGGAAAACAAATTGAGTGTGTATAATGTTTTATTGTTATTATGTGAATCAAATAAGCCTCAATATTTTTTCTGAATTTAGAAGACATTTTTCTCAATGGATTAAGCAAAGCATTTTGTTTTAACGTGGATCACCTTTTTTAAATAAAAGAAATACTTTGAAGGGCTTGTTCTCAACTTTTTTGTCATACATATATATAAATAAATATAATTACAACAGTAACTTTTCTACAAATGAATCAAACAATTACTTTAGCTAAGTGCATTTAGATAAAGTTAATAAGGGAAGTTTAATCTGTTAATTTCTTTTCCATTTTGAACTTAATTGGATTATATTTGAGCACATGCATACAAAGCGTATTATATCATGTATGAATAATATAATATTATTTAGAATATTTTATTGCTAAATTTTATAAAGATGACTTCTTAGAATTAACATTCTTTAATTTGATAATATGAAATCCTAAATAGATTATCTGTTAAATAAGAAATTAGGCCCAGGTTTTGATAAATCTTTATATTTTTAATAATACCATCTTGAAGATCTGACACTTGTTCCAAACACTCATAAACATACAAAAATACCTATAAAATTTTGAACAATGATTATGAATATGTGGAATAAACATAGGTCTCTTCCCACAAACATCCTGAATCTGTGACCAATATAAAATAATAGTCAAAATAGATTGACACTTAATTTTTCAAAGCCCAAAATGTCACAAAATTTAATAGATTTCTTCCAAAAACTCTTCTACATACTTCCAACTATTCTGAACTGTATGTAACAATTATAATATGTACATCTATACCCATTCCCATTCCAACACTTGATTGAAAACAAAACATAAACTTGGGTACGAGTTGTCTTGGGTACGACTTGACTTGGGTACGAGTTGTCTTGGGTACGACTTGACTTGGGTACGAGTTGTCTTGGGTACGACTTGACCAGTTACCATCTTAATGACCTCAGAAGTAGCTGTCATGGCCATGAACAGGTGTTTTTTTAGTGCTGACAACTTATGGGGTCAAAAATATTCCGAGCTTTCTTCCAATGACTCGAAATCAATGTATTGCAAAGTAAGGCAATAGACTAGGTGCGAGTAGAAATAGTCTTGATTTACGTCATTAAAAATTCAGTCAAACTGATGTCATATTTGGAATCTACATATGTACATGTAAAATTAAGGGTTTTCAACTTTGAAAATTTAACTTTCTTTGAAAATGTGACTTCTAGGTTGGGGAGATTCCCCATAGACCCCATGTTGTAAAATCACATAAGTGAAATATCTTTTCTTATGTTGGGCAGATAATATTTTCTTTTACTGTACATATTTTAATTTGTATAACTATCAGATACATATGGGCAATATGAAAAGTGAACTACTAAAACTGATCAATATTCAAGTTTGAGGGAACTTTGTAATACCCTGCCATGTTATTTCCCCCGAAATCAGCCACCTCGAGGCGAAACTGGTAACTACCTACTTGCATCTGAGTAATTCATGCCCAATTTCACACTGCACTAGTAACACTTAATGAGATCTATTGGTAGGAATATAACAGGAAATTAGACAATCAAAAAGTCAACATGATATGTGCCTCAGATCATACTACTGTAGATTGGGTTAATTTGGCGCTACTTTATTTGGCGATTTTGCCATTTTTGGCATATTGGCGGCTATTTAATTTGGCAGATATGCAAAAAAAATTTAAACTTACGCGCTGTTTGCAAATTACCATGTAAATGGGCATGTTAGGCTATGTTCCTTTTTTGAGGACCACTGGCGATATTCACCACGTTTGTACATTTTCGTGAGATCATCCTTTACATTTTGCACCTCGATCGATGCTTTTCCTTTCTCGTTTTTCCCTGAGTATTAATGAGTGACTGACCAGTTCTGAGAGAAATTTTTTTCATATTTTTGGAAAAAAACTTAACCGGAAGTGACCTAAATACACTGGACCAAATACCCTAGATAATTCCCGGGGATTCATTCTAAATTTTGGCGAAGATTTATATTGGCGAATTTTTCAATTTCGCCAAATTCGCCAAATTAAAACGGGCGCCAAATTAACCCAATCTACAGTATAATAAATGACCTCAAATTTCACTTTAGCCCTTTGCTTTTATATTAATCAGATCTGATTTCCCCTGGGTGGTAACAAAAATAGAAAAATGCTAAATATAGTAGTATAATAGATATGCTTTTTACCTATACTCATAATTGCTAGTTTCACCACCAGGTGGCTAATTCAGGCCAGATAATATGCAATATGCACACTATAGAAAACATTCCTTTTTTTTTTGATGAATGAATTATACAATTTTGATTATGCTCAGTAAAAAAAATTATTATTTCAAAAAATATATTTGAGTTTTGATGATTTTATACTATGGGCTCTATGGAGAATCTACCACAACTGGAAAATCCATTTTCAAAGAAAATGAAAATTTCAAAGTTGAGAAACAACTTTTAAAACTTTATCACAAGATGTAATTTGTATGTAGGTTCAATTATGATACCACTTTGACTTGACTAAATCTTGAATATTATTTCTACTGAAATCTAGTCTCTTGTATTAATATATGCCATTGTACTGACTGTACACCTTCACGATACATAATAGTTATTTATGCTTTGTTGCACTCATACAATTGAAAATATGAGGCGATGATCCATCATCTAAATGTTCTTATGTAATTTCTTATACTAGACTATACCACTTTCAGGTCGTCATGAGCAATCAGGAATCCTCCACGTGGATTAAAGCATTATGAGGACATGTTTTTCGCAGTACATTGGCTCAACTTATCGGATAATTTGAAATTACATATACAAGAAATACCGGAGCATCATACTCCATAGAGCAGAACATTTAGTGTCAAGGTATGTTTCACTTTTTTATTTACAGGATGAAAAGTGGTCCCATATGCCCCTGTTGCTTTATATAAACGTCTGAAAAAAGAAGAAAGAAACGTCGATATACAGGACTTTATGGGAAACATTTTCCTCCTCAGTTTTTATACAATATGATAATTCTTCAGTAAAATACATGATTCGTAGTTGCTCTTTGACTAGTAATTTACCATACATGTATAAAATGTGACATTTGAAAGTTTCATACTGAAAATAAGGCACAGGAAGATTTTGTTCTTTCTTAATACAAATCATAAGTTGAATCTATGATCTACTTCCTTCATAGAATATTATAAATAGGAACTTGCCCGCACATACATGTACATAATAATACATTATAATGAGACAAGGTTGGTGACTGGGGAAAATGTAAGATTGAACTGCTACTGAGAATGGCCAATCTTCTAGTTATAGTCTTTTCTAGTGTATAAAGTAGAATTTAGGCCATGGGCGTAGCCAGGGGGGGATGCGCTGGGAAAGATCGCACCCCTCCCTCATAACCTATAAAAATAAAACCATTAGATAGATGAAGAAAAGAACTTCTTTTTATTTGAAGCTACCAGCACAATTTTGAAAGAAATTGCATAAAAAAATTGCATAAAATCCAAAACAAATCTTTAAAAAAATTGTTTTTATTTTGCTTATGCCACGATCGCACCCCCCTGACTGAAAACAGAAAAAATTGGCAATCACACCCCCCCCTGACTGAAAGCTGGCTATGCCCCTGAAGGCGTAATCAAAATAAGCATGCATAAAGTCAATAGTCAATGCACACATATTAGAAAGAATACTCTCCTTTCTAAAAGTTAAAAAAATGTAACTCTTAAAGGTCCTGTGGAAAGTTCAATCACTTTAGCTACTATAGCATTATAAACCAGTGTAAGGACAGGTATAAAGAATAAAGAAGCAATGATATTTTCAAACTAGCCCTTAAGGTGGATCTTTTGGGACAACTTTTGAACCTAATGATTGCATTTGGCATAAGTATGTAAGAGTAACAAATCATTATATTGGCTTACCTTAATCTACATCATATATTTTCCAGGGCATTTGGATAAGTAAGATAATTATCTGGTTTGATTCCCATCTACATGTATGTCTTCTCTAGATTGGTTGTATAATGTACAACTGATTAAAAGTCAGCACAAAAGACAAGTTTGGGGTTTGAACTGAAAAAGCAAAAGTTGTGATCTCTCATGTATTTTTGATAAAAGGCAAGAATCAGAATCAGACTGTTAACCTTGGCTAAGCCTACTGGGTAATAAAAGTGGATAAAATAAATCATTAATTGATGCATTAGCCTCCAGAATGATGATTTGAGAGTGATCCATTGTTTGAAAAATGAGTTCTTTTCGAGGTTTAGTATCATGAGATTCATTTTCCATAATTATAGCCCATTATTTGATTTGCATGCCAGTCGGATTCATATATTCAGACCTTTTCATTGCTTTGTAATACTTATTGCATCTAAATCTATATCCTGGTAGTATCTACCCTTTTTAATAGTTTCATAAAAGAGAGCTTCATTGTACCAGGGGTTTTATTGGCAGCAGGCAACAGGCAATTTGTACCAGTTGTTTTTACAAAATCGCCTGTTGTTTTTAGGGTCTTTTCAACTTTTCCATGTTCATGTGATTTCCATTAATTTTGACTGTTTTTTCATTTATTTAGCCTGTATTGAGAAATTTTAGTGAAACCCCTGTCTATATAAGTCTTTATATAAGTGATAGTTCTTGGATCTAGCCTTACCCAATCAGAACATGGCAATCCAATTCAGCCACCCAATAAGAATAAGGCATCAAAACTGAGGTACCAAGATAAGAATTGTTCTTCATAAGTACAGGGAGGTAAAAAATAAAAACCTCATATCTTCGTCATTTTAGTAAATTACTCCCTGATATTTAGCAGATTTGTACATCATTCAATTTCCTATGAACCTACCATATTTCATGACCATCCGACTGATAGTCATAAGCACTTAATATGCTCCAGGTGTGACCATTATCGCACTGTAAGCAAACCTGCACAAGTTGTCAATGACCCAACTGCATTCCTCAGCAGGTATGGCCTGAATGACACAAATGATCCCTCTTTGAGATCCGCCATTGTCCTGAGGTCATCCTCGCACTCTCTGTCTTTGACGTATCCCCACAGGTAGAAGTCAGGCAGGGACATTTTGGAAGAGGTGTACAGGTTTGCCAACAGCGCATTTAGTTGGCCAACTGGAGCATGTTGTTTAAAGTGCTGTAACATTGTGACTATCAGTCTGATGGTCATGAAGTGGGCTTGTAGGGAATTGACCCTTTTCCATATAAATGGAAAAATAGATGGCCTTCATGGGTATTGGTAGGGCTAATAAACATGGCAACTTAATAGCAAGAGTCACTTAATTTCTTGATTTTACCAAGTAATTCCATTTGGATAAACTCAAAACACTATTGGAATGTAGCTATATGATATTATCAACATGTGGATTGTGATTTCACATTAAAATTGTGATCCTTAGAAGGATAAATGAACTTTTAAAAGTTTTTCAACATTGTGTCAATTGGGATTTAGCCTGATCATTTTTAAAAAATCTCTAGAATTTGATAGGCTGATAGGCTAATATAAGGGTAACAAAATATATTAAGTTGTACATGTGAAACAACAGGGATCAATTTTATATGTTAACTGTAAAATCTGTATTTTTTTATTAGATCTCTTGAAAGCCCATGGTAATATAGAACAGTCATATTATTGTGTTGTACAATTTTAAAACTGAAAAAATAGCTGATTTGATTACAAATTCATAACAAGTTCAATTTGTTGTTTATCTACACAGTTTCTTCGATACTTGCTCAAGGAACTAGTTCATTTTTATAATATTGGGTCCGTCATGCAATTCAACTCTCATAAAACACAACTTCCATTAAGAGACTATTTTATTGCTCACACAAACACGGGGGTAAAGCAGACCCGATGATGCAATGAGCTTGCTCGGCAGTATCATGACTGTGTAACGGGTTTTAATGTATAAGTGTGCTCGGCGGTAGGTTCAAATAAAGCGGATCCTCAAAGCATGTGCTCATGGTATATTCGTGTTTTAACACCCGTGCACTAAGCTTGTATTCACGAATGCAACTAACGGGTAGCAGCTATCGGATTAACCTACTATTTTATGACCAACTCATTTGAATATGAATGGAATAGTTGCTGGTACTATTCATATTTAAATGAGTTGCCCATAAAATAGTAGATTAATCCAGTAGCCGACAAGCGTCAGTTGCAATTGGGAATACAAGCTAACTTATCAATTTCATAATATGCTTAGTCTTGCTCTGTGAAGTCTCTCTGTAGGTGTAATTGGGATTAATTCGGTCTTATTCAATTTGTATTTTCTTTAAGATCTAACTTTAGGGATTTATGTAAATTGTCCTTCATTTACTCGTTTATTACATTTTGATAGATTTTGATCATTTTTTGTAGAGATTAGCATCTGTAATTATTATTATTTGGTGTCAAATTGTAAAATTAAATCAAAGGAGAGGTAACCTAGGATTAGTTGTTTGTGATGATCTTATTCACATTACGGATTATTCAAATAAGGGATTATTCACATTATGGATTATTCAAATAAGGGATTATTCACATTATGGATTATTCACATTAGGGATTAAGATGGGTTATAGAATCAGAATGATAAGGTCTTAAAGACACCATATAAAGTTTAAAAGACTATATTTTCAAATTTTACATGGGGCCTTTAATCTCATTCCAACTCTAAAATCAGACGCCTGAAGTAAATAAAAGATTTGTGACATGGCATTTAGAATAATTTAATTGCCAATAATTGTAAAATGTATTGATGGCAATTTCACATGGTAATAAGTTCAAATTAGGGTGAACATAGATTTCTGAGAATAGATAACTAGATCCTCTATTGAATCAAATTGAATATATTGCATAATATGATTTTGTGATATAAAGTTGAGAGATCTGATCAAGAATACATAGATTGATACAATTATGGTCAACCATCCTTGATTTGGTAGGGAGTTCAAAGTGATTCAATAAATGGGTTATTTAAATCTTAATTCATATTGGTAGAAGGATTAACTGTGAAAAAAAGACAATTAATTCATTCATGGATATTGCGAACCGTAAAATGCCATCATGTCATCGGGACACATTTCGAATGATTTAAGAGCCAGTCTAGAAACAACCAACCTATACATAATGCCAAAGGGTGGGTAGAAAATTATTTTGATACTAATTTATTTCTTAATTATGCTCATACAACAGCCTTTTTTATTATGTTATTGTTGTCATACTAAAGCCCAAAACATTTTTTGTTTTCCCATCACCCCCATGCTTTGGGGACAATGTTTGGGCTCTGGCTATTAAATCGAAGGGTAATGTATCCTGATGATGTGTGGAATGGAATGTTTCACGCTTGCTTCGTTCTATGAATGAACTATTATTTCACAATTAATCCCCAATGATACATTAACTTGCATATAAAGCACCTACAAAGTTATTTATGATCTAGAACAAAAGAAGATGTAATTACCCTGGTCTTCCAGTCAATGAACAAGTCATATTCGAAGGGTAATCAGGGTTTTCACCAGAAGATTTTTAGATTCCCATTGTTCAATGAGTTGCTGCATTTTGATATGTCAATACTCCCATGTTTTCCCTGTTTTACAAATACTAATGATTATCCGCCAATTAATAGGGAGTTTAAGCTTGCAATGTTTTTCACAACCTATAAGCGAACAGAAAATATTTATATTTGTGCGGGCGACTGGTCATACGTATAGGTTGGCATTTCAAATTTTTATGCAAGCTTAAACTCTCTAATATATTGTCATAACAACTATTCAAAGATCGTTTCTTTATTGTGGAATAAATATATTTTTATTTCAATATTTATTTCAATATTTATGTACATTTGGCATTCCCATCTTTGTTTGGATGCAGTTTTTGTT